GGGGGGGGCAGGGAGGCCGGGGCTGCTCCCGCGATAAACTTGACTGTGTCCCCTACCCCCGCAGCCGCTGCAGAGGGAGCGTCAGGCCGGGGTGGAGTGCGGACTCGCGCGGCAAGTGAGCGCCGAGGTGAGTACGGGCGCGCGGTCCCTGCGCTCCCCTTCCTCCCCCGGGCCGCGGGTCCAGCGCCACAGCCCCCAGCCGAGCCCGCGGCAGCCGCGGCGCCGACGCGAGACAGCGGCGTGTAAGATGGCCCTTGTTCCGGGCTCCGGCACGCGCGGGCGGCAAAACCGGCCCTTGACCTGAGAGAGCGGCCAGGGTGAAAGGTGACGGCCTCGGCGCCGCAGCCTCGAGCGACGCGCACAGCGGACCCCCAAGGGCCCCCTGCGCGGAGGCGGCCTGGCGAGCCGCGATAGGTGCCTGTGGCTTCACCAGGTGAAGCAGGGAAGACAGTGTCGCGTGGCCATGCATCGTTTGTCACGCCGGGGGCGGTCCTCAGGACCGGTCGTCTTGTTTAAAATGCCGTGCGGTTTTTGAACTTCAGGTCACGAAATGGGTTCGAGTGAACCAGAGACCCCGAAAGCGGAAACGAAGGCAGAAGAAAGAAGTGTTTGAAAAGGTAGGGGTCCCCGAAAGGGAGTACCCGGTGAAGGTCTTGATAAATCTCTTCTGCTCCTGAGGACTTGGTCACAACAATAGAGTAGCAATTTTAAAAACAAGTTTTTATTATAATAAGCCATAGATTAAATTTATGCGGATAGTTTTATAGAAATATTGGTTGATAAGCGTTATGATCGTCAACATACTATATTCTTCTAAGTAAGAATGACCCAGGAAGATTTGTTTCATGCTCATTAAAAGAGCAGTAAGACTTACATGGGTTCCATTATTATTTTAGACCAGTAGTGTTTATTATCTCAGTGTTAAGGTACCTCTGAAAAATGAAAAGTGTTCTGAATAAATCTCCCACATTATTAGGTTTGTGTGTTTGGTTATGGTAGACACAGTAGCACACTCACTCGCCTAGATTTTAAATTGGACTTATCTCAAAAATGGAGAGAGGTGAAATAAGTGGATTACTTTTAAAACGCTAGGAGGGATTTTATTTACAGTAAAGCAAATGAAAAATTTGTTTTCCTGAGTTTAGAATTTCAGGATGTTATTTAGCAGAAGTTTGGACTACCTATTTTGTCCTGGAATTGTATTAAGTTAAAACTTGGTTTGTCATCATAATAAATACGAAATATGGTAAGTAGTCCGTTGTTTTCTAAGTGACTTTTATTGAAAACTCTTAAAAGCGAATAATGTTTTTACAGTGTTACAGCAGGTATGATTTTTGTTGCTTTTGCTTAATTTCGGTGCTCTGTTTTTTGACTCTTGATAGCACCAAGGGATTAAAATAGCGGTGGGTTGTTTTTCTGCTGCTAGAATGTATGATGAATCACTCTTGATTCTGAAGCCAAATTCTTGCTGATAGCATTGCTGCCAACTTCTGTGATGTGTTGCCTTAGTATGGGCATTGCAGTGTCGGAGAATGTGTACAAAGCACATCATAATGAAGGTGATACCAAAGTTTCAGAGTGCATTTAAGGATACCAGAGGGCAACTCCTAAGAGAGTTGGAAAAAGAACTGGCCTATGAGTATGGTTGTTTATAGCTAGACATTCAATGTGTGCGAAAGGTGGTACCTCAGCCCTTTCCCTTTTAAATAGTCATATATGTCACATAAGTTAAACAGTAATGGAAAAAGTTGTCATTTTGAGCAGACTTGAGTTTTCTGACCATACCTCAGCATGTTATGGAGGGTTGTGTTTGTTTAACTTCTTGGTTTAGGTGTTTTAAAAATGTTTGTGAAATGATGAGTAAGATCATAAAAATATCCAAAGAAGGAAAAGAATTATGTTTTGCTTAGTATTTTTTTAAAAAAAGTATTGTAGCAATTAGTTTTTAAACCAAAAATAAGATTACCTGAATGCACAGCGTACCATGTAGAAAAGAAAGGGAAGCCATTATCTTTGTGGGTTACTAGATATTGTCACTACCAAAATCTGAACTAGAAGTAACCACATCTATGACACCCATGATCTGACCGCTGCATCTTCTGAGAAGGGGTGTGAGGAGGGAAACTGAGGATTTTACCTTCCAGGAGAATGAAGTTCCTTGCTCAACCATTTCCCCTTGACAGAGGCTACTGTATTACAACTTAGGGGAAGGATACTCCTCTGCCTTTTCTTCTTGGAAAATATGGGCAGGAGTTTTAAAGAGAACATGAAAATAAAGTAGGTTGGGACTAACATTCAGAACTTCCTTTCAAGGAATGAACCTCTTAAAGCTGAGTAGTTTTGAGGGTAAAGGTGGGGGAGAGCAAGAAGCTGGGAAATTTCAGAGTCGCATCAGAGAATATTAATTATCAATGTCTCCAGTCTTTTCTCCGGGCTCTGCACAGCACTCCCGAGCCCTTTGCCCTCTGTTTTGCCTCTGCCACACTCAGGAGAAGGTTTGAAGATCCCCAAGGCAAAGCATGTATTATTTCCAAGGACCAGGTGGGAGGGAGTGTGATGAGCAACCAAGGGCATTATAGCAAGTTCTGAAAGATACTGATGCTATCCTGCAGCTGGTAGGTGAGGTGTGTCCCCCTATTCTGAAATACAGATTGAGTTCTTTGATAATGAGCATTCATTCTGAGATCATGTGCTAACCTTTTGCTAGGATTTGAACCTGTTATTAGTAAGAACCTATGTAGTTCACTTACTGTTGAGTATCCTCAGTTATTTTTTTAAAATGTCTGCCACACCACAGTAGAAGCAAATTATTGTTTCTCCTTTTTCTGCATCCACTTGTTTCTCCTACATTAAAATAAAACTATGATATTTTCTGATTTTATTCATCTTACATTACTATAAAATAAGTAAACGAGTTTTAGTCATTCTGGTAGGTGCACGTTTTAAATCTAGCTGTTGCTTCTATTTGCCTACTCTGTTTTCCTTGCTCCCTTTCATCCCCTGCACGCTGCCCTCTCCTCCATCCCCCAAGTGTCTGTCTGCAGCTTCAGGCCTCTCAGGATTCAGCCGACATGAGTGAATTTGGTCTGTAGTAACTATGCTAGGGTCATAACCCTTTTCCTGCGATAGAAGGGTGCAACTTTTATTGCCTTGTGGAAAGCAGAGCCTTCTGACCTGCCTGAGAAAGGAAAACAGAGCTACAGGGCAAAGTCAGACGAGTAAGGAACATCTTACAGGAGGTGTTTGTTTTCTCCCGTAAGGAAAATCTTGAAGGTGCTGAGTGGTAGGCACAGCCTGATGTGACTTGAAATACTAGTGGAGTTTTTCAGTGATCTCAGAAGGAGAAGCAAAACAAACTCACCCTGTGCTCAGCTGTGGGTTGAAATAACGAATAATGAAATAAAATAAATTGGGTGACTGAGGTGTACCACCCAGATAAAGTGATTTAAAACCCTCTCTTGGCCTTCCCTGGGCTCTCCTACCATCATTCCCACCTACCACATAGTTGTACTATCTTTCTATGCTGTCTTAACAGGTTTTAATCCCTTAGCTCTCTAAAGATGCATCATTCTCTCTTAGACATCTTCTCATATCTTCTTTGACATTGATTTCCATTTTATTTTGGCTTCATATTTTAGCCCTTTTCCCACTGTTGTAACTGAATTCTTTTGTTTTTTGTTTTCTTCACTTAAAAGGACAAAACTCCTCTCTCTTCTGCTTCTGGTTCTCAGGTATTTTCTCCTTCCATGCTGATACTCTACTTTTTTTAATTTCAAGTTCCTTTTATTTAGTTTGAATAATTTTTGCAACGGAAAAGCAAGGAGAATATGAACTAACTGCACAGAGAACACTGAGGATGAATGGATTAGCCAGCTCTACAAAGGTTAAAGAATTGCCATTGCAAAAGTGAATAATATGTGTATTTTTAAAAGTAATAGATTTGACTAAATGGCTATTGGTTTTGGTAGAAGAACACACATTTTTTTTTTCTGTTTTTGCTTTTAACTGATTTAAGGGTAAATACACATTATGCATCACAATCAGAGATTAAGGGATAATGTTTTTTATAAATACAGATTTGTAAAATATAAAGTTTTAATAATTTTATCAGTATTCTAAGGATTAGAATATATAATCAAATATTATTTTGTAAGATAGTATTTTTAAGGAAAACATATGAATAGGATATGACTCCTTTAGAGGAAGAAAATTCCAATTTTCAGGTTCAGAAGAAGCACCCTTCCTGGTTTATGCATATCTAACTTCAAACTCCTGGACCCAAGGGATCCTCTTGCCTCAGCCTCCTGAGTAGCTGGGACTACAGGGACCCACCACCACGCCTGGCTAATTTTTCTGTCTTTAGTAGAGATGGGGTCTTGCTCTTGCTCAGGCTGGTCTCGAACTCCTGAGCTCAAGTGATCCTCCCACCTTGGCCCCCCAGTGCTAGGATTACAGGCGTGAGCCACAGCGCCTGGCCTCTAAGGTTGGCTATTATTAACAAGAGATCCTTTATGTGCCTTAGTGTGTTTCCAAGCCAGTGGTCTTGGCCAGCGTGAGATCGTCTGGCCTCTGTTAGGATTAGTCATAATGAACACTAGGTGCAAATGGTTTCCAACAACAGCACCCTTTAAGGTTACCTTAATTATTCGTTTCTGCCAGAACCTGAAAAACAATACTCGTAAGCTATTCATTACTCAAATTGTTTAAAATTTGGGGAACTTTTCCTTGAAATATCTAAAGTGAAACATGAAAATCTGGAAGGGTGGCTGTGAAAAGTGTGGACTTCATAGTATTTTCGTGGCCATTTTAGTTGGGACCAAATGATAAATTCTGTTTTCTGAGTCTTTAAGAGAAAAGAAGCCAAAAAACTATATTTTTTGTGATAATATCCTTCCTAAATTCTGGCGCATTTTCACTCTATTCTGATTTCTTTTGTTTCCTTCTACACACTTGACTCTGAACCACAATCAGTGATAATTTTAGTTTCAATAATTCTCAGACTTTAAAAATTGTATATGTGAAATCCAACTTGGTTTGTTCATTTTGCAACATTTATTGTTCCTTTTAAAATTTTATGTATTGTAAGAGAATACTTTTAGTTCTAATATTGAAATACTCAAAATGATAAGGTAGGTACAAATTTTAAACTGTTTAACAAAGTGCTTTACTGCTGTTTGTCTTTTGTGACAAAGGTCTATTTTATATTCTGTTTATGATTTCTGGAAACCAATATTAAGACTAATAAAAATTATTTGGCTCTTTCTTAGACCCATAACAGCAGATGGTGATTGTGTTAGGCTTGACTCCAGAGCTGTCATCACACAGCTTAGCAAAATGACACAGGGTGAAGTAGGGAGTGCTGAACCAAGGGTCCCATCACTTTGTAGGAACTACGCTGCATTCAGCAAAATGGTAGGCTTAGGCAGGCACTCTTACGCAACTGAGGCATCATTGGAGTTGAGTGGTTTCCCAGGCATTGGTGCCCTTGCCTCTTTTTGAGAGTGCAGTTGCCCTGTGAGAATTCATAACTAGTCTACATTTATATAGCTGCAATCTCTCACAATAGCTTCATTGATACTTGATTTCCATAGAAAAGCTTTATGGATTCTAATGAGTC